CCCCGCCTCACCAGCTCACCCCTCGCCCGGACCCTCCACATACCCATCCAAACATTCCGGTTATCCATCTCATCCCAGCACCGTCTCTGTCCTCAGCCCAGAAGTGCGGGCTGTTCCCGAGTTAAGCCCAGGAAGGGCTCCTGTTCCGGAGTTAAGCCTAGGAAGGGCTCCGGATCCCCAGTCCAGCCCAGGAAGGGCCCCGGATCCCCAGTCAAGCCCAGGAAGGGCTCCAGCCCCAGAGCTCGCTCCCGTGTCGGCTCCAGCCCCAGAGCGCCCTCAAGTGCCTGCTCCTCCAGAGCGCCCTCAAGAGCCCGCTCCTCCAGAGCGCCGACCAGAGCCGGCTCCTCCAGAGCGACCCCCAGGATTCCTAGGATCCACCATGGCCTCCCGAGGTCCCTGCTCTGCCGTGGCCTCCCGAGGTCCTTTATCCACCGTGGCCTCCTCCTGGAGGCTCTCCGTGGCTCCGCCCGATTCCAGTCCTGCACCAGCTTCCAGGGCGCCCACCCCCCCTCCCCGATGATACGGTTACGGCGCAGGTCGCGCCTTCTGGGAGGGGGGCGATCTGTCACACCCCTGTGGACTGTCTATTATGGTTTCTCCCTCTGTGTCCTTATTTGGTTGTTCCTGTTCTCATTATGAGTTAATCACTTCATTGTGCTCACCTGTCTGCCCCTCGTTATCCACCCAAATCAGTTCCTGTCCATTGTGTTCCAGTTTGTCAGTTATTGTGAATGTTACCCTGTGCGTGTGCTCCTACCCTCTTGTTAAGTTATTAAAGGTTTCTTGTATCCTTCATCCTCGTCGTCCTGCCTGTTCTCTGGCACAGCAACACCGTGACAAATATAGAATAATATCAGCTCACATGTTATGCATAATAATTATAAAATAGTTCACGAAATGCTGTTTAAAATAGTTTGCTGTTCTGTAAAAGAATAGAATGCCAACTACCAATAAAATTCTAAAGCAAATTCTGTTATTAGTTCTGCAATTAAAATATTTAATTTTTTATCTTCCACAGTGATCTCTCAGATATTACTTTGAGTCTGTCCAGTAAATCTAACTAGCTTCCACCCATCGTGTTGGCCATTTTTCTCAGTATGCTGAAATTTTGACTTTTAGCACTAACAAATTAATTTCACCATGACTTTGTTTGACAGTTTTCATCTAGAGTGTGATTGTGATCTGAACACAAATCCATAAACCTAATCTCATACTGATATATGATGCATGCTCTAGTGCAGGGATTCCAAAAATTTTTTCAACCGAACCTTTGACCAAAAATATTTACTTGAAGTGTCCCTTGAGTTTTCAAGTTAGTATTTAAAAAATTTAACACATTTCCACACTGCAGTTTGGGAAGCCATGTCCTAGAGTAGCATCCAATAGCGATTATAGCATATCTGTTCATTAGAAGTGTAATGTTTTTTTTCTATTTTTCCACCACACTCTCTTCTCTGTAGCTTTTGCGGATGGTGACGTTGCCTGAAAAGCGACGGAGGGCTCGACCAGGAGGGGGCGCTGCGAGGAGAGACCCAGCCGGACAGGGCCAGGCAGACGAGGATGAGGAGGGTCTAGAAAGTGGGGATTGTGATGATGAAGATGAGTGTACTGGTGTTTCTGGACTCGGGCCGCCTCCGAGACGCAAACGCCTGCGCATCTTTGCAGGTCAGTGATATAGTACACACTGGAACTAATTTTTTAGTGTCAGTGAATTTTTAACTGGTGCTACTGTTAATTATATTGCCCAATCTATGTTAAAGGGGTTATATGATGCGATTTACATTTTTACTTTCTCTTTGGAGTGTTACAAGCTCTTGGTGCATAAAGAAGATCTGTAAAGTTGCAAAGACTAAAGTCTCAAATCCAAAGAGATATTCTTTATAAAAGTTAAGAGTCAACCACGCCTACCTAAAATGCCTCGTTCTAACATGCCCCCACATATCTACGTCACTGTGTGGAAATATTAGCATAATGCCGCCCAAATGTGCACGCAAAGAAAGAAGGCGTGGTTTCAGGAACAGCAATAGTGTTGATGCAGCCATGTCAGGGAGTATGGGATGATATTAGACTCAAAATGATTAATAGATGCACGCACAATTATCCATGTACTGCATACATTTTATACATGTATCTTACTAACCACAAACAAATGCCTTTCAATTTGAGTCTGTGGAATTCTGGATTAAATGATTGTGCAGCGATTTGCGCAAATACAGACATGTTTGTGAATAAAAATGTTCTGTTCTGCATTAATATATCATAAATTGCTCATGCAAAAAGGAATCTGTGCATATGTGGATCAGGTGACACGCGTGCATTAATTGATGTCTAGTTCGAGTCGATCTTGTTCAGTTCATTTCGATTTTGAGACTTAATTTTCGCAGTTTACAGCCTTTCACGTCCCCCACACACACAACTACGAACAAACAAGGCCCAGTGTGTCACGGAATGCCAGGAGGAAACAGGGTAAGTTCCATGTGCAGTTTATTGCAAATAATAACAGGACAAAACAGAACAAAACGTTGCAAAAGGTTATCCAAAAACCTGACACCGACAACACCAACTAGAAGACAATACAATCCAGACGCAATGACAGACAGAGTGAGCATGGTATATATAGCAGGGATAATGAGTAAATGATAACAGGTGCTACTGATCAGAACAGAATTAAAGCAGGGGACTATGGGAAATGGAGTTTAACACATACAACATAGAACAGACAGAGCGCCCTCAAGTGGCCAGTCCAGGGCACCACAACCAACACTGTGACACAGTGCAATTCATTAACGTGTACAAGATTTGAAAAATTCGCAAATGTGCATCACTACACTGAAACAAATGCTTTTCAACCGGTGTCTGCAGAGTTAAGAATTACATTAATGTGCAGCATTTTGTTCAAATAGAGACATATTTGTGAATACAAATGTTATAGTTTATATTAAAGAATCATGATTTGTGCATGTAGCGATTAAAATGTGCATTTGTGGATCAGGCGACACGCGTGCATTCATTCACATCTCTTCTGAGTCGATTCTATTTGATTCATTTGAATTTTGAGACTTTCCTTCCGCCCTTTTAGCCTTGCCCAATCCACACACACACAGCTCGTGATCCACGCGCAGCTGAGCCTAAGAAAATCAACCACCACTAGATGGCACTAGCCCCAGTCACATGTGTGCATTCCATTGAGTACTGTTTCATGAACGTAACATTGTTTTCTTTGTTTCTTTTTGGTTTTGGCTATTCTCCTCTACGGCAGAAATATAATAAATATGTTTTATTGAACTTGTTCTAACTTAATTTGTCTTAAGACACAGAATAGCTTATATTAATTTTGCCAAACAAGAACTTCGGGAAGGTACCTTGTTTTTTTCTTTCTTTCTGTAATTCAGCGGCACGTTGTCAGTTATTCCTTCCTTGTAGGCTATTATTATTATCTCGTATAGCTTCATAAAATTACTGTTGAACCTCTGATGTCACATGGACTATTTTACCGATGTCCTTACTAACTTTCTGGGCCTTGAACATGTCAGTTTTGTTGCTGTCTATGCAGGGTCAGAAAGCTCTCGGATTTCAGCAAAAATAAGGTCTTATAACCATGTTTGAAACAACAAGAGGGTGAGTAATTAATAACAGAATTTTCATTTTTGGATGAACTAACCCTTAAAAGTTGCCCCAGCTTCACAGGTTATAGGTAGCCATGTATTATCAGTGACCTCGCGACCCTATCATTGTCTGAGGGAACAAACAGGGTACATGGGAGATGTTCCCTTTGATGCAAAACAAAGCACAAAAGAACCAACAAACCATGTTAGTGCAAAGAAACTAAACAGAGGCAAAGAATAACAGTAGAAGGGCAGGAACAAGGAGTTTGATACTGACTGACAAAGCCGAACCAGCTGAGCAAACACAACAGAGGGAGTTGTCGTCCTGGTTGTGTTGTTGTGGCAGAGATTTGGGCTCTCAGGGTAGCGCCGCAAGGGGCCCAGGGTTACACTGAGAATCCCACTTATAAAGCACATGTGGAAGGACAGGATAACGCACATATCAGCACTCAAATTTACACCGAGGAAGTGAAGCGGTGATAAAACGTCCAGCATCAAGCGCTGAGGTCTGAAAGCTCTCTAAACTTCTGAGCCGGTGGTGTTTGAGTGTGCGTCCTCCCTCCCTCTTGCAGAAGATTTACTGCTTTAATTATTAAGAATGAAGAGAATGCGTTTTGGGCGCTGGGATGAACAGTTGGCGATATATCTTTCCTGTCTTGGAATTTTATATCCCGCTCCTCTTCTCCAGTCCTCTCTCATTCTCATGTGTGTGTGTGTGTGTGTGTGTGTGTGTGTGTGTGTGTGTGTGGATGTTAGGTCGGTGGGTCATGACCGAAGAATGAATCACAGGATTGTTCTGGTAGTGTTGTGGAAAGCAGGGCAAAACAATGCTAAATGCTAATAATAAAAAACAACCATACAATAAATAATTCAGGTTAAGACACTTAGAAGGGAGGAGAAATCACTTCTGATATCTCTTATTGTCGATGTCAAAGGCTGTTTAATTTAATCTGCTAATATGGCTAATGCTAATACAGTATTTTTAGCCCTGGGTTGATTCTGTGTGTTAATTAGCTACATTTTGGCAACATTATGCAGGCAAAAAGGTCCGTTGTCAATTGTCAATAGTGTAGTGATGTAATGAAGCAGAGCTGAAAAGTCACTTTTTTTATATAAACAGCTTTCCTTTGGTTAGCTTGGCAATGTTGAGTGACCAACCTGAACCTGTTGCGAAATCTGCATGGGGAAATTGCTTATTAGCATTATTAGCATATTTATTAATAAGCTTATAATGCTTTAATAAGCTTATTATGCTTATTAGCATGCATATTACAAGCATACTGGCTTTTTATTAGTATTTATAACCCACATATTAATGCCTTATTCTGCATGACCATATTTTGGATCCCTTAATCCGACCCCATACCTAAACTTAACAACTACCTTTGTTAAGCAAATGAGCAAATGAGGAGTTTGTTGAGGGAAAAGTTGTAGTTAATAGTAAATATGAGTATCCTATTCTAAAGTGTTACCAACAAACATCTCTTGCTGCTTTTTCAGCATAAAGGCACGAGTGCTACATTTTTAAAGACATTTCAAGTCATGTTTAAATATCAGAGGAGGCTGTTTACTGTAACAAGGGCGATTAAAGGGATAGTTTGAAAATTAAAATTACCCCACTGATTTACCCATCCTAGGTGTATATGACTTTCTTTTTCAGACAAATACATTGGGAGTTATATTAAAAATGTCCTCACTTTCTCAAGCTTTATAATGACTGTGAATGGTGGTCGAGATTTTAAAGCAAATTAAAGTGCATCCATCCATCATAAAAAGTGCTCCACACGGCTCCGGGGGGGTTAACAAAGGCCTTCTGAAGTGAATCAATGCATTTTTGTAAGAATAATATCCATATTTTAAACTTTATAAACCATAATCTCTAGCTTCTGCTAACATACGCGCGTTACCGAGAAAGTGGCATTCCATTGATATTTTTCTTACACAGATGCATCAGTTCACTTCAGAAGGCCTTTATTAACCCCCCAGAGCCATGTGGAGCACTTTTTATGATAGATGGATGGGTTTTTGGGTTTCAAAATCTCGACACCCATTCACTGCCATTATAAAGTTTGGAAGAGCCAGGACTTTTTTTTTTAAATATAACTCCGATTGTATTCGTCTGAAAGAAGAAAGTCATATACACCTAGGATGGCATATATGTGAGTAAATCATGGGGTAATTAAAATTTTTGTTGAACTATCCCTTTAACTTTCAAAAACAGTAGTGATCAATTCTTCTGTTCTGCTGTTTATGCATTTACAGAATTATCAGTTTTCCTATTCGGCTAATATTATGTTCAAAGTTTTACATTTTGTCATACCTATGCAGTTTACAGTCTATATGTTGTTCAGTATTTGACCAATATTCTTGCTCAAGTATTGTTCAAATATGTCTGTTTGTTTTAATGTAGACCTTTAGGCCTCTGATGAAACAGGTACACAGATAACAGCAGATAGTTGCAGATGACCCAGTAAAACACGCTTCAGCCCTGCTGTCTTTTCATCCCATTTTGGTTGTTTGGGGAGGGGTCAGGAAGCCAGAATGCCGAAGGTCATCCATAGGCAGGTTTACTAATGGAAGTCCTGTCTGTGCCTGGTGCGCTGAGATGGACGACGTAGATCTGGTTTCTCAAAAGAGATGCAGCTTCGGCGCTGCGCAGGGGCCTGGGGAGCGTGACGGACAGAACAACAACTAGGTGCAGACAGGCCGCACCTCGGGCCCAGACCCCTCCGTAAATCAAAGCTGTCAGCTGGACAGTAATTTTGTGGATGTTCCGAATGATCCGGATTGATTGATAAATCGTCATTCACTCTGGGAAGAGATTCCAGGCCTCCTCGCCCCCCAGGACTGCCCCCAACCCCCATACCGACCCACGCATTCCAGGCCAGCAGAGCTATTCCTGGACACGGGCTGTGTGTGTCCTGTGCTCACACCCCGAGATACACACAGCCGGCGCTGAGGTCGTGTCATCTGCCTCACCACGCTCACTTTAATGTCAGCCGCCCGCTTAGGACAAGATTATGTGAGCGGCGGTGCAGTCCAGCACTAATCAAACATGCT